AGCACGCAAAGTTCGCTCTGATGGAATAAGGGAGCTCGCTAAATTTTCTGAAAATCATGGACCCAATCACTTTCGCGCCGCTTTCAAAGCGGAGAATCGCTCGAAATAACCAGCCGGTCGTCACAAGAGGGACAGGATAACGAGAACACGTCAACAATCGATTCTGATATCGGGAGGTAAGCGTCGATGGCGCAACAAACGTCGGATATTTTTATCAGAGCATCAGGTCTTGCGGTGGCGGCCATCGTGACGGCGAAGAAGGATCGTTCGGGGATTCTAATTTATTATCCCCTTCGAGACTAACCCGCGAGACGGGGCTCGTCGATGTAAATCCCGGCGCGATCGATAGGCACACCTCGGCCGCTTCGACCGCTACCGAAGCGAAGGTGGAGGTTTATAACTGACCGGGGTGAAGGAACTCTTGAATCTTGCGCGACTGTAGATAGGACGAACGTGCTATCCTCGGGCGTGCTCGTGTGTCTTGGCTGGCGAAGCGAAAACTTTTCGCGGAAGCGCGCCAGCCTTTTCGCGAGCATTGCTCATATCCGCGATAATAAAATCGCGTCATGCTACGAGCATGGAGAGGATCTTCACTCGCTGGCGAGGACTATCACTTCGCGGAAGTGTTTCGTTCGCGATTTTTCTATGGCGGGGAAAAACGTTTCCGTCCGCCCCCGCTGTGTTGTTCCGCGGAGCAGTTCGGGGTCGAGCGTTCGTGGAATTTGTGTGAGGCATAAAGTGTAACGGACGAAAACGACATTAATTCGAGAATCATTAACTCCAGATTGCCAATGTTAGTCATTTTACCATAGAACCTATTTTTTACATCTTTTTTCGCATAATTCTGTTGCATTGATTTTGCAGTTACTTATTGATTATCACAGTAAAAAGTGAGTCTTTGGACTACTTTGCAAATTTGTGGAATTTTTAATTGCACTTACAATAACAGTTTTGTATGAAAATTTAAAAATATTTGTAATTACTTGATTTTCCCTCTGTAAAAAATTACTATAGACTTTAAGGCAGTTTGCAAGTTAAAACGCGAAAAAACGATTAAGGGAGTTGTCTCGTGAGAATTTAATAGAAAATTGATTGATCTTTTGCGCACACCAATTTAATACAAAAAGAAAGAAAAGAAAGAGAGAATTTCTATCACTCAAACGAGTGACCAGCAACTCGTTACAGCGTTTCAACGATGATCATGAAAGTGGCACAAAAGCAGTGTAGAAAGCGCTTCCTAAGTAAAACTATCATGTTAGATTTGATTTGTTAACTCTAGAATCCTAAAATTTATACAATATCCATTTATATTTATCAATTAATTTTCAGGCAAAATAATCATCGCTAACACTTTAAAAACAACTTTCAGATAAAAGAAGTAATAAAATTTCTAGTAAAAAATATGAATATAATTTCGTTTAATTAACCAAACTGGTTACTTTAACCAAAAATATGTTCGTTCATATCTCACCAAAAAGTTTAGTTGATATATCCTTAATTCTGATTAATTCAACTAAGTTTTTCTTTCCATACACGCTTAAGATTTACGTAACTTTTTGTTGTTTAGAATTGTAAGGTTAAAGGAGATTGGGATCTGCATAATCTTGAATGTTTGCCACGTTGCGAACGTTACACGGGGATACGGTGATTATCGCGATGATCGCTTTCGCAGATTAGCGACGCTTCGTTCCCGACTTTTTTCGAAAAGAGAGAAGGAGGAGAAGAAGAGAAGACCGATTAATCACAACGACATCATTGTCGCGAGAACGCGGCTCATAATAAATGCATAATAAATTAACCGACAGGCTAATTGTCGAAATTAATTATCTCGTGGAGGATCTCGCGGAAACGGCTAAATCACGCGATCATAATTAAGTTTCGAGGGAGATCCGTCTTGAGAAGTACTAAAGCGCCACGAAAGCCCGGGTCGAACTTGGAAGCGCTGTGCAGCAATGAATAAATAACTGCGCAGTAACGCAACGTGGCCGTGCGATTTGCTTTGAGATACCCCCGCGAAATTACTGCAACACCACACAGTGTAACGAATGGCGCGATTCGCCGTATATACACTCGTCAGAGGCTCGATACACATAAACACATACACACACAGCCAGTCGCCGTAATAAGATACACAGACCCGACCAAAACACGAAATATCGTCGACGAATTGCGAGCCAGTCTACCCGCGCAGCCTCTTGAAACTAAAAGATGCAATAAATTTTTGCGCGGGATTACGACAAGAATTCAGTCGGACGTCGAGACGATTCGTAAACTCCCCTTTAAACACAAAGGAGAACTTTGTACTTGACGTGAAGCTTGCAAATTATGGCCTTATGAGTTATATATTCTGATGTTGGGAGTCGTTTAATCATTAAAAACGTGATAAAGCGTTTCGACAATTCACCAGGGTATTTAAGGGTATGTATTGCCCGTATAGTCCCTGCAAAAAGTCACTGGAAATTAGAAATACGCTGACATTTCTACTTGCCGTGTAAAAAAGAGGAATGTATAAGAATAATATATGTGTACGATATACACTTAAATATAATAACACATTCTCATTTTAACATTACATTTTTATAGTCTATCTGCTTTACTTTATATTATTTCTGACTTTTAAGCTTTTATCTCTAAATCACAATGAAACTTTGCATACATAATTTTTAATACTTAAAGTACATGTATAGAAAAATTTCTGTCATTGTCCTTTAATTATCTTTTCCTTTATTTTACTGAGTTTACACTTCAAGGTGGGGACAGCTTCTGATCCAAATTCCGAGTCAAATTGTTACTGATATTTTTTAAAGAGGCGATGTAAATTAATCTCTAATTCTTTCAAGCTTTTTTTCATTATTCTCGAGGTACGGATAATACAAGCTTAATTTATGAGCGAGCTAGTTCAGTCAAAGCGCTTCAGGCGCTTTTAATTAAACTTAGCGCACGGCTAAACATAAACACGGCTAATATAAACATATGGCTAATCATTTGGCGTTATTGAGCTGTTTAGCGAAACAATTCCGCGCTCACGTCAGAGGACGTTTGATTTTTCAGAGATATATTCTTCTATTTTCTCCGCGCTGTATTCTCCTTCTCGAAAATCTCAGCTCTAAAAATAGCACGTTGCCGCTTTAGAAGAGGGCGCCGAAGTTTCCAGGGTAAAGTTTGGGGAAAATCTCGGAATGAGCAACCAGCACGATCAACGTGTTCGAGTGGAATCCGTAGGTGTCGTGTTAGAGCGATCGCATGTGCGACGGGAAATTAAAGAGCTTCGAGATCCCGCTGGTCTCTGCTATTCTTCTCGGCGTAAGACAATCGTGTCACGAAAGTGCTTTATTTAATTGAGAATGATGCCTTGCTGCCGTGTCGCGAGATTCGGGAGATTCATCTTCTGACCTATCGCGACTTATTTCGCCGCTTATTTTCGAACGTCGCTAATACTCACGGCTCGAACTACCGCCCGCGGCGACTCGTTTTGATTGCTTATCGGCCGACTGGACGATAAGAACAGCACATTCATGCGTGTAAGCTTTAGTCAGCAGCTCACCGCATGACTTGTATGACAACTTTGCGCAATCTGACTGAAGGAACGAATTGTTGTTGCTTATTATTTATTATGAAAGATTTTTTACTTCCGCTGTGTATGAGTGTGTAAAAATATATATTTGTTTCTCGAATAAGGGACATTACTAGGTCAGTATTAAAAATTAAATTAAAGTACAAAAGTATTATCGTGTTTGTGAAGTAAAATTGAAAACAAAATTATCCAGTTTCAAAATAATGTATATAAAATAATATAAAATAATACTTTACTAATAAAGTAATTAATATCGATACAATTTCTTTTGTTAGATATCTAACAAGATATTTTTCTTTTAATATCTGAATCAATTTAAAATCTGCAACTTTCCTTGCAAGTCAAAATGTAATATAGGAACGACAAATTATATTAATATTTTGATCCAATTAACATATCACGACTCGGGATTTTTTCAGACATTTAGCAAAATCTTCCTATCTGCTGTTAACTCTGGTTTAGTATTCGTGCACGGAAAAAAAATGATTGAATTAACAGAATTCAGAATACGTCAATTAGACAATTTGATGAGATATTAACACACTATAATTTTGTGGTTAAGATAACCAGATAAATTTTGTTATATAAGCGCTTCTGACGAACAACCAGACAAATGTTTAGTAATCAAACTAAACAATTATATTCATTATTATACTCACATTTCTTACCTTTTTAACTGAAAATTGTCTTAAATGTTATTACCTTTTTAACTGAAAATTGTCTTTTAAATTGTTAGTGTATGATTATTTTACTTGAAATTTATATTTCAACAACTCGACTTTTATCCTGTGGGATTCGAACCGAAGATCTCCGGAAGATCTGTCTACGCTATGTTAACTAATACTATGTTCTGGTGTACTACCATACGGTTTGGTTGAATTAACCAAATATCTGGTCGAGTATGAACGATCCAGAAATTCCGATTGAAGTAACGTGAAGTTCTGTTTAAGTTAACAAAATTTTTGGTTGACTTAAACAGAATTCGGGTTACTTCAATCGGAATTTCCAGGTCGTTCATATTCGACCAGATATTTGGTTAATTCAACCAAACCGTATTTTTTTCCGTATAGAATATTTCATTATAATAACCAGAAATTCTATTTAGTTCGTCTCGTTTAACCAAATATGTCGCGTTAATGCGACCATGTCGTCATAACCAATCGAATTATTCCAAGTGAAAAATTCAGATACCATTGTTGTTGAATTTTAAATTATCACACATACAAACATAAAATTCTTTTCTTAGAGCATGCAAAATTGTTCACTCCTTTCCGTGTAGAATCAATATATTCTGTCTTCTATATCTGCTATCTCAAATTATCTAATTTTCAAGATAACAATTATACGCGACAGTTTTCAAGTTTGCTTCCTGAAATGTGTGCAGGAGGCTGCTGGGCCTACTCAAGCAAAATAAAGAGGGACTCACGCTGGCTCGCCGTTCTGCTCGACGCAGACGATGTTGCCGCTGAGTGTCTCGATATCCTGCCGCTTCACCACGTGCACCCCCGTCTTCTCCCTCGGCGAGGACACCCCCCGCACCGTGTTGACGCTCACCCCCGTGTCCGTCGACCTCACGCTCTCGATCGAGTCCGTGGACACGCCGGTGGAGGATTTCAAGGACACGTCGCTGCCGCGGTTCTCGTTCCTCGCGCGGACCGCACCACTGTTCGCACTCGCGTTCACTGCACCGCCCGCGGAGTTGCTCGCGTGGCTGTCGTTGCTCTTCGCCGCGCTATTCATCACCTTGTTGGTCGCCGTTGTGCTGTTCGCCATCGCGTTGTTGGCCGCCGCCGCGGTGCTCCTCATCTCCGACTGCCCGCTCGCGGCCTTCGTGTCGTTCTCCATCACCGTCGGCATCCTGTCGCTCGCCGAAGCCTCGCGACCGCCAGTTAATTTGCCAACCCCGCCGGCTGACCCGCTCTTGACCTCCGCCGACGGAGCCGAGGTCACTTCCGACTGCTCCGAGGCCTTGCCGTCGGCCGGCTTAGAACCGCGAGTGCCTTGACCGTTCCTGGTGGAACGCTGATTAGCGGAAGACTGATTGCTGGGGCGTTGATGAGTCGAACCGTCGCCGTTCGCCCTGGAGGTATTCTTCACGGGCTGACCGACGCTGCCGCTCTTCGAGTGGCCCCCGGTGCTCTCCGTGCCGACGGGGGAGTCCCTCTTCTCGTTTCCCGAACTACTCGTCTGACTCACCCTCACCTGGTTCTCCATCGTCGACATCGTGGGTTTCTCGCTCGTCGAGGCCGCGTTCTGCATCGACACCGGCTGCGGCGACTCGTCCTTAGACGCGGCAGAGGACTTGGTCACGTCGCACTCCTTCGGCTGGCTCGACCTCCCGTCGTTGCGCTCCACGAGGAGCGCGTTCGCGTCGATGTGCAACGGCTTCACCGCCGTACTCGTGGTGGTGTTCACCAGACGCTCGCTGGACGTGCCGGCTGCATGTGAAGAGGACTGTTTGAGGAGGCCCATAATATCCACCTCATCCGTTTGACCTGAGGAACTCCCGTTCACCTCAGCGAATTCCTTCGCTTCAGACAACCGGCCGTTCTGAACGGACTGATCGGCCTGCTGGTCGTTCCTCCCCTCTTTGCCAATCTTGTCCGTCTTGTTCGTCTTCTTGGCTGCTTCTGAGCCTTGGTCGGGCATGGAGATGAACCTGCCGGTGTTCGACGGCGTGATGAACGAGCCGTTCTTGCTCGTCTTCAAGGGGATCTTAGACGGCGAGACGACGCGCTCCTTGCTGGTGTTTCTGTTCTGGCTATCCCTTCGGGTGGCAGCGTTGCTCTTCTGCGGAGAGGTCCTCGGCGTCTTCGCAGGCGGCGGTCTGGAAGAGTCTCTCGTGCGATCCCCTTTCGATGAGGCCTGTGTGGTGGTCGCCGTCTTCTCCGGTTTCGTCGGGGTGCCTTGGATCGGCGAGAGTCGCGTCGACAACCTCGTCGTTTGCCGACGCCCCGGAGTTGTTGAATTACTGCTGAGGTTGCTGGTGGAGTTGGAGATGAAACGAGGCCTGGGCTCGCCGAGGCTCGTGCGACTTTTGGCGTCGGGCTTGTTCAGACGCGTCCTCGAGTCGTTGAGCCGCGTCGACTTCGCATCGCTCGCGTTCAGTCGGTCCCGCGAGTTCGAGACGTTCAGCCGCGTCTTGGAGTCGACCCGCCGGCTGATCTTTGGAGAGGGTGAACGGTCGTTGACTTTCGTCAGCGAGGTGGACCGCTGACGATACGTCGGCTGCGGTATCAGGCTCCTCCTGGGGCTGTTCTGCTGCGACACCGAAACTGGAAAGGACGAGCGAATCATTTCACGGTGACGATCGGCAATCACGATCATCTGATCTTCTCATCTCGACGTTGACCATCAGTCAACGCTACTTCGTTCTCCGCAGAGTGTCGCGGATCTGCGTATGCAGAGAGACGATCGCGAATCTCTCTTCCCCCAGCGTAAACTTGTGGAAAGTGAACAAATACTTTCAAGCTGGAAGATTTTCACTTTTCACAAGTTCACGCTAGAGGAAGAGACTTATGATCGATCTTCATGATCACAGATTTCACTTCTTAATACGATTGATGTTTACTAGCAGATATTGCAAGAGTACTGTCGCTGCTATAAATTCTACGTGCTGCAGACAACAGGTCTGCGTTAACTGTAATATTTAGAGTCCATTGTTCCAACCTCTTGGTAAACTACCTAACAGTTAAATCATATGTCTGTCTCTGTCCAATTTGAAAAAAAAACGAAAACAGACATATGATTTAATCTTTACAGGTTCACAAGATAACCGAAAGAGAAAGAAAGTATTTAATCATCTTTTATAGTTTATTATAACAAAATGAATGGAAAATACAACTACACAAACACTAACGTAGTTTTTTTAGAAATCTATATTTAAATTTATATTTCAATTTATATTTCCACAAATATGATATATTTACGAGCATTATTATGTGGTTGATTATTAGAATGTAAATATATGCTTACCAAATAAAATAAAATAACTACTGAATAGCTAGAAAAGCTAGAAAAAAACAAAATATAAGCATCGAAAATTTCACTATCGAGACTCGCGAAAAATTTGCAATTGCGGTCGATTTATTTTGATAGCTCGGGTTTGTTGGTATTGCCAGTTAAAAAAAATCGCGATAAATACATTCCGTTTTCACATTATGCCAAAAAGAAACTGTCGATCATTATAAATTCGCTACTAAATTAGAAAAAAATATCGGGGAAAAATATGTTTCATGGTCCTAAAAGGGTTAACTATCAAGTAGCTTATCAAGACGCTTATATTTTGTTTTTTTCTAGCTTTTGTGCATATTCAGTGGTTATTTTATTTTATTTGATAAGCATATATTTGCATTCTAATAATCAACCACATAATGCTCGTAAATATATCATATTTGAGGAAATATAAATTGACATTTGGAACAATCGGCCCATTCTATCTGGATCAGCAAAGCATTTTTTGGAGAGATCCCGACAAGTCGCGCGACTTACCCCTCCGCTCGACTCTGCTGCGTCTTCGTCCGTCCGCGGCGACCTCCGGGGATTGTGGCCTCGAGCGAGGCGGTGGTCCCTTGAAGCCGCGGCCGCGGAAGGGCGAGACCCTGCCGGTGGGTAGAGGGGGCGAGCCATCGCCGGACTCCGGTGTCGCCGGTCTGGCCTCCGCGAGGATCACGAAGCTGGAGCGCCGATGCGCCCTGCCGAAGGACGTCGTGGACGGAGCGACCTTGTAGGGCTCGGGTGCGCGTGGCGGCGGCGGTGGCGTCGAAGATGGTGGCCCCGGCGACAGGTAAGCGACGTCGGGGACGGCCAGCACCTTGAAAGGCGGCGGCCCTTGCCGCGCAGCGTAGCCGTCATGGTCGGTCCGCCTCATCCTTGCGTGGTCCTATCTTTCTCGTTGGAGGATCACAGCACGATTAATCCGTTGCTAGTCGATCGATTAATCTGTTAAAATTCACGCGGCAAAGAACTGTGCGATTCACGCGAGAAATTTCTGTTGTGATCCGCGACTGCGCGCGAGCTGAGACTAAAACGTTCACAGGGAAGACGCGCTTGTCTTTCCCTTTGGGAGATAACAGTACAAAGATGATTCATTGCCTATTAATCCATCAATCTATTAATTCACTGGGTAATTATTTTCGTAATTTGAAATTTTTGTTGCAATCCGCGAGTTTGCGCAAGCTGAAATTATAACGTTTATGGGAAAGATGTACTTATCTTTTCCTTTAGAAGATAATAGTATAAAAATGATTCATTCATTGTCTATTAATCCATCGATCTTAATTTCCTTAGTGATTATTTTCGCAATTTGCGCGAGAAAACTTTACTGCGCGAGCTCGCGCGAACTGAGACGTTGATGGGAAAGACGTGAAAATTGTTACTCCCATGATTGTGACAATCACAAGTCGTCGTTTGATCTGTGATCTTCACGCGCGACGAGACTGCTCGGTCTTAATTGCATTTAACGTTCGGATCGTGTTATTTCTCGCGATTTATGCGTCACAGTTCGTAGTTTTGCTACGTTACTAACATAGTTTACTAACTCGTAAACTCATGCGTTTGTACCTGGTGCCCTTCATGCAGATCGCTGCTCTGTAGCGAAGAGGGACGCCGAGAGAACCACTGTTACTCTCACCTGCAAGTAATAGAAATCTTTACTGGCGAGTAAGAGACGGAGGTGGAGAAGGAGAGAGTGCGTGACTATTTCAATAATAAACGGAGAAATTTTCGGCGCGATTACAATCGGGGAGATAGCGCGGGAGATTGCGGTTCCGCGCAGCGGCGTCCGCAGATAGAAAGCCCAGTTGCAGAAATGGAAAGAATCACGCATTCGCCCTGACTGATTCGACAGAACGAGCGCGCACTACGCTGAAAAATCAGAATTAATCATTCGTGTCGACTTTCTGCCGATCAGTTCGGCGCATTGGGAGAGCCAATAAATATTCTGATATCGCGTACAAATCAAGAAATGTGCTATGAATGTCCAGTATAGATTTGAATTTGCAAATTTGACAGAGTCGCTGATTTCAACTGAAATAATTTAAGCTAAAAATAATCTTAAATAATGTAAACTTTAAATACCAAACCCAAGCGCTTAAGATAATTTTTTATGTGATTTGTTTATATATTATTATATAGATAATTTTTTTGTACTTAAAACAACGCTAGAATATCATACCATTAAATCCCTATATTGATGTCTTTGTACATTACTTTGAAAAAATTCGTAAAATCTTCCTGTTTTTTGGTTATTTAAACCAAAAGTCCTTAACTTTTCACTTGGGTCAATTTAACCCTTTCAGTCCCAAGAATGAAATTTTGAATTTATGTATATTATTAGAGCATTTCTATGACTTAGAATATACACAAAATTCAAAAATACAAAAAAATATTTATTGATTTTTTTATTTTGATTTTTTGATATTGGCAAGATTTGCAACTACTTGAAGCTCCGTAATGGAGAATAGAACATCCACAATTGTATGGTATCGGACTGAATCACTTAGCGAGAGCGGGGGAAAAGATAGAGTGGCAAAACCTGACCCACACAATTGTGGATATAGGGACTGAAAGGGTTAAAAACTTCCTGGTTTCTTGGTTATATAGTAAACCAGAAGTCTTTAATTTTTCACTTTGATTAATTTGAGCACTAAACTACGGTTAAAACGCGTTTCACATCCGCCTGTAGTTCCACTACACGTCGAGATCAGCGTGAAAGCAGTCTCACTGGTCGAGTCGCGCTTATGAAGGAAACTGAAGAGAACGTTTTAGTCCGTTGCATTAACACTGATAAGAGTTCCTCACACCTCACCACGAAGAATGGCCATCGATCTCTCCCGGTTGTGCAGCTGATCCTCTCGGGGCAGGTTGATGAGCGCCTCTCCTCTCTTCACGGATAGGGAAAGACTGCACGGCGCGGCCGGCAATTAACGAGAGCTCGTGTTGCGCTATAATTATTCGTTGTCGTTCTGTGCGGCTTAGCACGCGCCCCGACAATGAGTATCCTCGGCGGATACGTGGAGCACACGTTATTCACGCTCTCGTAGACGACGGTGAGAGGCGCGCACCGTGCATTTTATCGCGCCGCTATGCCAGCTGCACGCCAGTTGCACTTCTGCTTTATTCTCCGATTCCTCCGCGCGATAGACGCAACTGCGTCTACAGCCTCGCGATGATGATGATGAGAAAGTTGAAAAAGAAAGAGAAGAAAACGTCGCGCGCGAAACGATACTCACTACGACTCGGACCAATTTCGACCGACACATCGGACTAATTAAATGTCATCATCGATTGAAACGGCCGCGACATGGCGCGAGATGACGATAACCCGTCGATAACGGATAATGTTTGTTAAGTTCTCATCCTGATATCGCTAGTTCGAGTAAACAGCCGCTTGAAGTTTCTTATACTTCGTTATTACAGACACGGTTTTATTCACAACGAACGAAGAAAAAAGAGAGATTTGACTCTCTTTATTCCGTGATTCTGCACACATTATATTAGTGCAAAGGGTTAATTATCTGTTTGTACTAAGTTCTCGCATTAAAAGGCTAGGTATTAAAAGGAGAATAAAGAGTTCTAAAGTGGGGTGTTTCAAAAGATATTGAGTCGATGTTTTAAAACTGTTAATCCTTCAAAAAGTTGGACGTTTTCTAATTTCCGCGTTTTCTCTTCTTCCTTCTCTCTTTATGTTAAGTTGGTGCACAAAATTTGTCAATTTGAAGGAAAATAAAAAGACCTAAAAAAGTACCAAGTTAAGTTGTTCATTTTATTCATAAAAATGATTGATTCTTTATTTTAATTTTCTAAATCTGATCGTCTTCTTTTCTTCCCTCCTCCTTTATATTATATTGACGCAAAAGTTTATTATTTTTCTATCAGATTCTTGTGTAAAGTCCGGGTATTCAAAGAAGAATAGAAAATCCCCGTTAGAATATCTAAAAAAATACCAAGTCAATGTTTATTTCACTCGCAAAAATTATTAGTTGTTCAAAATTGGATAATTTCGTTCTATATTTTATTTGGCAAACACGATAAACCTTTTAGACTAACTTATTATATTTTCTAAGCGTGTATCGTTTTGGTATTTGCTAGAATAATTGCATTCTCTCTCTCCTCAATCAATAAAATTAGACGTGAAATTCGCATCGTCCTCGATAATACACAAGAAACACTGTTCAGCGATCTGTCCTCGCGAGAGTGGCGTATTACAAAAAGTTAAGCGCAAAGGATGCGCTCAAGCGACCAGCGACTAGTAAGATCTCGTTCTATCGATCGCGCGCGGTATTTTCTTCGCGATTAAGATTTAGATCGGAACCGGTAGAGTAGTGTCCGTGGCGTAATTCACTGCGCAGCCGTTCGTTACAACGGCAACGCCGTGATTTACAACTGTCGTTCGGCCACGAATCAATGGACGGGCATGAACACGCCGTAAATTGCAAAACCGCGAGGCGGCCATGCAAGTTCGGCCGATTAGCTCCCTTAAATCGTAAATAGGGAGTGTGCTTGGCACATAAACCTTCGGGGTCGCAAACGCGAGTGCAAAATGCGCCAAGGGCTGGTACTCTTTCCACCAAAAAGATCGGCCGAGTATTTATTTCCGAGCTGAAAAGCGCCGCCCTGCGCGCGTCCTGCTCAATTAATCCAATTGAAATTTATTTATTCACCCCGTCGTGAAATTTATTCAACTTCTACTCACATATTTGCACGGGGGAATGTATTTTATTTATTTATTTATATATTATTTATATATTCTTTACTTATTTATTTATTTATTTACGTACGTTTATTTGCAAGAAATCATCACTTTGGTGAAAAAACTTTGATATAAAATGAACAACTTGACTTGATATATTTTTGAATTTATTCTTTCTATTTTCCTTTAAATTGATAAGTTATATTTTTGAATTTAGTCTTTCTATTTTTCTTTAAAGTGATAAGTTTTGTGCACCAACTTAACATACGAGAATCGAACATACTTAACATAAAGAGAGAAGGAAGAAGAGAAGACGTGGAAATTAGAAAGCGTCCAACTGTTCGAATTTTAAAACATCGATTCAATATTTTTTGAAACACCCAACTATAGAACTCTTGATTTTTCTTTTAATACCTAGCCTTTTAATGCGACAACTTAATACAGACAGATCAATCATCAATTGATTACAAAATCTTCCAAGCTGACAAACTAAGAAGATAAGAAAAAAAGAAAAGAAACGCGCAGAAAACAATAGAGAAAAGAAAAGTAACCATAGAATGGACAACATAAGGTTAAGGTTTCACGTTGGTGCATGTGTGTGTATAACGTGCGCGAATTCTGAAGATACCTGCGAATTCGCGCCGTAAATTTCGCAGTTCAACAATAAATTCGCGATTTCCATAATCCTCGAGTATCCACTTATGCGCCGTTGCGCCGTGCACTTTACGTAATTACCGCCGTATGTCGGTAATTGGTGCCTCTCGAAGGTGATATGTGGCTCACAGTGCGAAGCGACGCAGATCTCCGAGTGGATTGCTTTCACTCCTCATGACAGCTCCTAATTGTCTCGTTAAATAAAAGCGACGAAACGCCGGTGATTATCATAAAAGGGGGCTCGAAATTACCCCTTCGTTACCCGACTTAGGCGAACGACTTTTCCAAAAGGCAGAAGTTTTCTTTTTCGTCACATGTCCGTTTCATTGCCGTTAAACGGATCATTAGCCTCATTATTCACGCGTTATTACGCCGAATAAAAATCCCCGAGTCCCCATCGCACATTACTGGGATGCGGCTTATCTGGCACTTAATGCGAATCACTCACCGCGAGAAAGTCACCATCGTTTATTTCGTTTCTTCGTCCGCACCTTGATTTCTTTCTCGCGGCTATCACAATAAGCGCGAGCTTCGAAATCGCCTCGGCGTTGATTCCCGCGCGTTACGTCCGCACGCGATTTCGACACATGCGGAAGTCGAGTTTATAGGATTGTGAAATGGAACTTTCGCTTCAATTAAGAGCCGCGTACGCCGCGCTTTTATTTAACGTTGCATTAAACGTCAGGTATGACCAATTCTCTATCTTACCTAATAAAGATTACATCCATCCGAGCAGGTCTGAGCAGGAAACGAAACTCGCGGGCGCTCGCGTTTCGCGTTAAATGTTCAAACGTGATCGCCCCAACTTTTATTACTTAAAGAAGATTGGCGGATGATTGCTCGCGATAATTTATTAATGTTATTTAATTAATAACTAAAAATCTACAAAGTTACTAAACGTAGAGTACTTTTTTGTTCAGTTAAATCTTCTTTAATCCTTTCAAGACGGGAGATATTTTGATATTCTACGGCCTTCATGCGTGTATTTCAGAAACTATCCGATATTCACAAAAATTGATATGTAGAGGTTTCTTGGGGTGCTCTTTCCAAATTTGAAATAAAAAATATAAAATTCAAAATAGCGAATCAAATATGACAGATGTGATCAGGTCGGGTCAGGTCTAAAATTTTTTTTCCTTGGTCGGCATTTTGAATTTCAAATATTCGATTTTAGTTCTTAAAAAAGTATTTTTAAAAAGTTTCATAGTTAAAATTTCACGGAAAATTGAGTGATATTTATATTATTTATCATTTTTTCCGCCATATTGGGTCCGCCATCTTAGATCACAGAATTTTCAAAATCTAAGTTCAGATTCGGATTCAACCCCAAAAATCCATAGAATACGTACTTCCCTATAATTATCTCCCCGAGCAAACCCTGAAAGGGTTAATTAATATCTCGGTAATTATTGCGAATATCGCAGAATGATACAGGATTTTTATCTTAATCCATACTATATGTTTCCACGAGAGCTTGGAAGATTGGACACCCTGTATACGCCGCTTATCACGTTCGCTTTGAATTTTAGTCCTCGTTTGAATAACGTGCTGTGTTATTAAGCGGAATGTGACACCAAGACTTACGGTCATTGTTTGAATATCGCGTTACCATGTGGCACGCAGATTTGACCTTTAGTCACCGTTTAAATGCCCTAATCGATCACACGAGTCCGACGTTCGAATTTAAATAAGAACGGCGGCGGTGCTTGCCCGTCGCAATTTAGGACGAGCAACGTGTAAAACAATTTGTACCGAATATTCTCTGTCCGGGATAATAAGAACGAAAGGAAGAATGAAATATCCTCCATTCAGACGGCTCATAATCGCGTGAAAGTGCGGATAGGCTTCGATTGATTTCAAATTTATCCGCGCAAGCAATTATGAAAATTCATAATAAAAAATTCATGATCTTAGAAACCAAAAAAATTAAATAAATCGTATTTATAATCATAAAGATATTCACACGTGACACACACAGAGTAAATCAATATTATTATTATAAAAAAAGAATTTATAATATTCAAACAGATCTTTTGATTCGATCAATATGCAATCTCCTCGGAAACATTTAAAGGTTTATATCAAATTTAATCTTTTTTTAAACCGAAATAATAGAAAGCTCTTCGAATAGATTAACTAACAGTGAGATTTGAAAAGGCACATAAAGAGCAAGCACAGATGTCTTAGTGCTATTAAATACTAATATTACTTTTTAATATTAATATGATTGTGGGAGGATAAAATTGTCCAGTATGTTAAACGAACGTATCGAAATTTTTCTTCGATTATCGTAGGAGAATCAACCTTTCATATTTAGATCGATCCTTGAGTCCCAATTTTTATATATATATTTTTTTATTAAAATCCAAACCCCATTAAACCGATGACTCAAATAGATTCATTATATATGTTGCGGAAAACCTGCCTCCGCCAGGACTCGAACCTGGAACCTCTCCACTTTCCGGGCGGGAAGCCTTTCCATTTGGCCACCGAGGCTTCGACAGTAATCTCGCAACATATTTATAAATTCTCTAAGATGTAAGTTGAGAGAAAAAGAACAAAAGAGTCGATCTCGTAAGAGATGTTATTATACGAGAGAGAGATAGCATATTCTTCCTGCCAATGCTTAAGTCAAACCGAAATAATAGAAAGCTCCTCGAAGAGGTTAACTAACAGTAAGATTTGAAAAGACACTTTCCCGCTCAGAAAGTGGAGAGGTTCCAGGTTCGAGTCCTGGTGGAGGCAGTTTTTTCGCAACATAAATAATAAATCTATTTAAGTCATCGGTTTAATGGGGTTTGGGATTTTAAAAAAATATTCTATCAGAAAAAGTGCGTGTTAACTAAATCTCGATTATATCAAAGTGAGTGAAGCCTCTTTTCCGCGACGCTAATTGGCCGTCTCAACCGTCTCGATTATCTCGATCTCGTCGCAGTTGAATTCATGCCGCTTGCAGCTGTCAGCCGCGGTGACAGATCAGGTTGTATTGTTCGCGTCATATAAATTTGATATTTATTGTAATAGGAAGTTACAACTAACATGTATGTAATATGTAACATTATGTTTGCTGGGAAAATAATTTGTAAAAACGATTGTAATATAAATTGTAAATAGTACGACAAAAAGG